GGACGAATGAGTTAATTGTAAGATAGTAAATGTAAACGAAGTTGGCTGCAAGGTTAAAATAAGCAATTGCTATGTAAATTTAACCCTTGATTTGTATATAAACTATAACTATTATACATTTTTCATTCTTATCTCAGATAATAGTTTTCACCTCGAGTCTTATTCCCTTGAACGCTAATTAGTTTGTTTGATGCCCGAGACTAAAATATAAAAATAACGAAATTCAAAGAGAAGAGAAATGAAATACAAATACTTGAGGTAGAACTATTTAGTGAGAGAGAAAATTCGCAAGCGTAAGTTCATCGTCAGCCTATAATATCACCTGCGCGTCGTTACAGTCGACCGTCAATATTTGTGTTCCGGTTATAGTATACGCGAGGTCGTTACATATAAACTTAAATATGTATATTACATATCTACTTACGTACGAGCCGTATACGTAACCGGTAACAAAGTTTCAGTCTCTATCTTATCGTTCGCAATATTACAGACGAACAAATTGCAGTAAGTACTTTTGTCGAACTAACATGTAAAATTAAAAAATGTGCGACTAATGGCCAACATTCTAATCGAATTAACGTCATTTTCAACAAATTTATTTGTATTAGCATTTTTATTTACGTCCATTATAATTTTGCATGCATCTGTAATATATTTAACAATATATTATACCTTGGGTAGCTTAGAGGCTAATAGTTTGAACTATTAGTATCGTATTGCATTACATGAATTATAAATGTTTACACTTACATTATTTACCTTTACAAAATTATACCCTTTACTTTTTTATTCAAGACTTCCACGAGTGGCAATTTTTTTTAATTTTTTGTTACAAGTTATATGGTAAACTAAGCCTTCTAACACCCTAAAGAATTTTAAATGGTTTAATTCTAGATTAGAAAAGTTATTCAGTTTTGAAATGAGCACGAATATTAATGATAATATAATTAAATCTTTGACTGCGGTGCTATATTTGCATATCAGTCGCTGTGACTAGCGTATATTTACGTCTGTCGTATAGAGTGCCTACCAAAAATTCCGGAGCACCTGAACAATTTTTGAATATAGGATTGAGATTTGTAGCAATACAATGGGATCACAGAATCTATTATTTGGCCACAGGGGCACCCACCTCCACCTCCATCCTCCGAAGGCGTATACGCCTGTCGTAGTCAAAAGCTTAAATATATAGAATAATAAGGATGAGAGTGTAAAATGCAGTACAAATATTAATGATAATTACATGTATAAATATAGAGAGCAGAATAATGAGAATAAGAGTATAAAATGCGGTACGAATATTACTGATAATTAAACATAAATAGATATAAGAAACAGAATAATGAGAATGAGAATGAGAATGTAGAATGCGTGGATGTTTAAGTTAGAGATGTAATAGGCAGGATATTTGTTATAAAGTATAGTCTTAGTTCTATGATTATCTATTTATTTATCTATTTCATGAATGAGTATGAATGAATCTCTGTACTATGCGTGCTCTGCCCTATATGTGTATGCACATGCAATACGTGTGTATAGTGTCTGTAACTGTGTATACCTACGATGTTGAACGATGCTGTACTAAATAAATATTTCTAGTAATCAAAGTTTATACAAACGCACGTGGTTCATCCATTTAGATAAATTCCATACTCCAATCAATTTCTTGGCCGTGAGACAAAAGCAATAAAGTATTATTGTTATTAAGGTACTAGCTCGAATATAAAACACTAACGTTGGTTTCGTGCAAATTATATTGCGGGTCACTGGGAACGTTCCGGCGTACGCGATAAGGGAGATTGATTTAGCGGAGGATAAACGAATTAGCGCTAATTGATACCTGTTTGATTATCTCACCTTCCGATCGAGTTAGAAATCGGCTAATCGCTCGAACCAGCTGCGAATTCCGGATCTTCAATACGACCGACCGAAGCACTTATTAAAATGCTATAAATCAGCTTTCAACTGATACGGTGATAATTTGATTAGACCGAGTTATTTTTCATTGAGAAGCAGAGAACTTTGTCTATTACACATTTTCAATGATATCCAGACTGCGAGGTTTTATACAAATCAAAAGCATTTTCAATGCTAACTTAAAAAATTCAATCTTGATAAGAACTTCTTTTGTCCTTCACAGACAATAATATGGACTATTTTAGTACGTACATGTTGAATACATTCTCAATATGTACAATTTTTCCATAAATCCATAAATTTCTCAGTCTAATAATATATCTAAGTAACATAATTATCGCCGACTGCGATTATCGTATTTTAGCATGAAATTATTGAATCGTTTCAGTGACGAATATCGATTATGCAATAACAATTTACATAGGACTAACGACATTTTTTTATCTGACTTGCAATTATGTACATTGTTTATAAATTCTAGAAAAAATTGTCTCGAAGAATGCGATGTATTTTGGGTCAGATTAAGATTTTGCATAATTACAATTTTGCACGTTTTATTAATATAATATCTAACAACCTAAAATTTCAATACTTCATCACTGTTTTTTTCTAAGGGCTCATACAAGGGCTCTTAACTCTGATCAGTTAAGTTCCTGAATTATTTCATTTATTTCATACGAATTCCCTTCGTCAATTATTCTCATTATTATCTGAATTATTTCATAAGAATTAATGCTCGGTTTCGAAACTGGCCATAACTTTTGACCATTTTCCTTGGCAAGGCCTTGAAGCGAGGAAAAAACCGAACGTAATTTCCCGGCCTGAGCAGAACAGGTAAACCTCAAACGCGATTAATATGAACAACTTCGTATTCTGCTAATCGACAGCAGTGAGTGCTGCGGTAAGTTACGTTGTCTTCATATTTTTGTCGTTTATCAAAGAATCTTTCGACACGAAAAGCCACGTGACTATCGCAAAAGGTGAACGCGAAATATCGCATAATGCACAAATTACGTAATCGAGGTATCGACAGATCGGAAAAGCCGGTGCTCGCGATTACGTCATGGATCTTCGATACACGGCCTGGGGAAAAAAGGAGAGGGGCTACTGCGTTGTTTCTAATGAAACCGGAAGAATCGAGAAACAGCGGTGAGAAATAAAGAAAAAAGAAGAAGAAGAGGAACTCGAAATGCGTTAACCGGTGTTAATCAGGTGACATCACCGATTTCGAAAGAATCGGAGGAAAACACGTGAGGCGATTAAAAAGCACTTGTGACACTCTTCGGTCGAGAAAGTTTCAAGAAGTCGTTTCAGAGAATCAAAATTGGCGGATGTTAAAGAATAACCAGTCCTGAGCTCCCTTCCGCAATTAAACTAATATTACACTCGATAACACAAAATTATTTTTGCAATATCCGCTACGTAATTCTTCTAGAAAAGCATGATTTTGGGGAATGAGAGAAGCTTCTTTGTTGGTCTTGTGTTATTTGTGACATATTCTTAGACATAAAAGTATAGACAAGTGTATTTTTGTGAACTCTGTAAAAGATAACGAAAATGCTTTGAAGGTGTTTTTCTCTCTTAACATTGTCAGAGAAAAGTCTATTTTGATAAGGAGCAAAGTTCAAGGTTTCATGAGAATTTACTAAAAATAAAATTCTAATCTAGAAAGCAAATTTTCTGGGGACGTTAATCGGTACTTAAAACGATTAGATACCTTTATGACTAAAATCAGATACTCCTACAATATCTCATACGAGAATATTTGGCAAACAAAATGATAAATAATTTATGAGAGCTGGCGAATAATTCAATACAATTAAACAGATTTTAACTGTAGATTGAAAACTGTACAAATATTCTTGTCTGAGATACTGCAAGAGCATTTGATTTTAATCATGAAGATATCTAATCGTTTTGAGTACCACATCTACCATTGAGTTTTATGGGATACTGGCAGAGCATAAATGGATCAGTTCGGAGAAAGCGAGCACGAGATTCTGGAAGATGCTGAAAGAATAAAAAGAAGGGAGGATGCAATTTACCAGTTTTTGTTTCTCTACGTCTGCCAATAACTGCTACGAGGAAACGGATCACGGAACCCATAGCATAAATAGTAATTCCCCTGAGGGGATGATACGTAAGGAAAAATAAGACACTTAACACGGAATAAAGACACCTAATGCAAAGGAATGAATAGAATTGAATTAGAAAGAAACAGGATATAGTGGCAGAGTAAGGAAGAAATTATAGAATGGTACAGGGAGGCTGGGAAAGAAAAGAAAGGAAGTAGAATGCGCAAGAACATTAAAATAATAAAAATATAGGAGAAATAGAGAGTGTGGAAAGAGAGACACAAATGAAGTCAAAATCAATAATAAGAATAAGAGAACTTAGATTAGGATAGACTAAGAAGTTCAGTGGAATAGGGTATAAGAAAAACAGAAGAATTAAGTGGAAGCATCAGCAGGGTTCTCATAACTTTTCCCTCGGCCGAAAAGTGCGGATGACGCGAGCATGGTAGGGACTAATACTTGATGGAGGTATGCTAGGCATGGTCAGTGAAGGCGCATGAGGAGAATAGTAGTGGGGATCGAAATACGGGCGAAAAAGAGGGGAAGCGAGCCGTGCGGGAAAAATTGTGAGAACCCTGAGTATCAGATATATATGAGAGATGAAAGAAAGAAATATTTAAGAAGCAGTGTTCAACCAAACCCATTTCTTGGCAAAAAGAAGTTGAGATAAGAGAATTTATCTACCTAATAATTCCTCCTAATTACTTATGTATTTTATGTTCCAAGTTAATATTCCATCATTTGTATAACTTCCCTATAAAATATTTATTTTATAAATTGTGTATTTCATATTCTTTTGACTCTTCTATTTACGTTCTTGCAATATTCTGTCATTATCTTAGGATTATCTAATCCTTAATTGAACGGTCTCAACTTTATTGCTGCATGTAAGCCAGAAACTAATCTCAAACATGAAATAACTGACAAGCTACTTGCACCACTCAGTTAGTTAATCAGAGAATCTTTCGAAAAAGAGGGCGAGAACAGAAATAGGAGATCTAAAGAAATGGCAAACTGCCGCGGAATTTCGTACAGGGTGTTTCGAAAGCCGAACACGAGGCAGTATTGTCTTTGCATTTGCTATAATGCATCGTCGAAATTGGCAGACGAAACTACCATTACGCTATTGCAAAAGTATTGCGCGTCAGGGACAAAAAAAATATTAGCAGCAGACTGTATCACAGACGTCTGGCTGTTCAATATATGTAGAAATGTGAAACACGAATTTGTGCAAATTCAAGGAATACGTAACGTACTATTGCTAATATGATAATGAATAATGGAAGGTTTCACAACTCTGAATTCATCTTTCAACATTTAATAATTGAATAACTTCAATTTCTGCTGATTGTCGTTATAAAACTGTGAATTTTATGTATTTACAGACAAATTGTATGTACAGAAAATATAAAACATTTATTCAATGTCGGAGGACACACAAAGCAGTAAGTGATTTTTAAAATGCAAAAGGAATTCCTATAATAGTTTATTCTGCATAAAGATCCGTCTAATCATTCTTGATTAATTCTATATAAGATGATGAAAAACATCTGTACTTTAGAGGTAGAAAAAGCCATTAAAAATGCGAAGATTTAATACGAGTGATCTCTTGAAACGCGTTGTCGGATCTAAATCTGGAAGCGGTTTGGTACTAAATACTGCTTATACCGTTATTACTCGTCGATTAAGTGAAGGCGAGTCAATTGAGACTGGTTCCAATTCTACGCTACCGTGGCCACTTCCGATAAGAAATATTAGGTCACCCAGACGTATTTGTCGATTATCTTTTTGCGAAAACGTACGTAAATAAGTACAAGGCTAGCAGAAAAATTCCAATGTATGTAAACATACGCACTGCGTGATAATAGCCTAAACTGTATTAAATTTTTATATTGAGATGACACATTTCATCCCCATCTTCTTCTAACTCAAATAATAATTCCTATTTCTAATTCTCTTTTCTCGTAGCTAATATTATTCTTAAACTGATAACGTCCCCAATATAAAATAAAAGAAATTCTCTATGGCTAACAATTTTACAATTATTATTAATCCATCTAAATACTTATATGATCGTATTGCCGTGTTTTTATCTGGTATCATGGTTCTAATCTACCATTACGGCTTTTTTCAACATTTATCTCTATTTACAGATCTATCGTTTATTTCCTCGTTTCGAAGATAAATATTCTCCGATAAAATTCATCAGTAGACACGATCCAGGAGGTTCTATGAATCTCAAGAAAGTGAGAGCAAACACGCGAATCTTCTGATAAAAGATAACTCAAAACCCGAACTGTGCGAAACCATCCGTTCTGTTACAAAAGTACTTGGAAACTCACGAAACTCTCCTTGACACAACTATTTTTAATGAAACTGATCTTTAAAAATTATATAGAAAATAAACGAACTTGCACCGACAAATACTAAATTCTATGTGTAATACATAGACTGCGAATGTATATAACAAATAAAACACTTGTTATATCAATTTAAAAAACGAAGTCTAGATTGAGATTTTTTTTTACTCTTCAAAAATAATGATGTGCATCATATTTTTTTTTATATTCTACACATTACATGCATTCTTTACATTTTTTGCACATTCAAATAATCTTCTATAAATCTATAAAATCTGAAGTCTAGTAATAAGTTGCTGAGCAAAACCCAGAGTCCAAAAGAAACATATTGCAATCTTTGCTAGGTCTTCAATATAATAATTTTTATACTGATGTTGCAGCAAGCATTGTAATAGATTTTTTAATAAGACGAAAGAAAGTTGATTCTGGGTTTTAGCCAGCAATTCGATATTTTTAATTAAAAGGTTTTATAAACATGTTACACTGAAGCGTGTTCGTGTCTCGCGTTTCTCGTCTATCGTCGTTGAGATTGTATAAATTGGTGAAGGCCGATCGCTCAGGTGGCGATCAGCTGACAATCAGCTGGGAGAATGCGGCGCGACAAGAAAGCGTGGGTACGCTCACGACGCTTATACGTGTTGAAAATGCACGGGCGTGAAAGTCTAATACCGAGGCACGTGCTCTCTAATGATCACAGACTCGAATCGCGACTCTAAAGCGAACCACATATATCTAGCGATGCACTGCGGCCAAGAATAAACATGAAAATAGGTTTGCAACCCTTGCCTACGCTCAACGCCTCTTTTCGATTCTAGCATCAGCGTCGACTCGAGAAAGAAGTTTCATTCAAATGATTGGGCTTCGTAGTTAATATAATTACTGAATGGTTTTCAATTGTTTCGTCGTTTTGTTGTTTTGTGAACAGTAAATATAGACAGTGGACAACTGAGAACTCGAACTTTTATTCTTAGCAAGTTTAAACTTGGAAATAAGGTAGATGTTCCGATTTCTGTTTACGTCACAGTTTCTACTTACTGGCGTATTTTTCTATGGTTCTGAGATAATAAAATTTCTTAGATAAATGCTATTTTAGTCTTTATTTCTATCTTTTATTTCATTCATTTCTAAGATAATAAAATTATAGAAAAGTAATGCCAGTGAGTAGAAATCGTTACGCAATAAAACAGGAAATAGAAAAAAAATAAAATGAGCAAAGTTCATATGTTATCTTAAAATTATAGAGTAATAAGCCAGTGAGTATAAATTGGGCTATTTACCTTATATCAGCAAACGTAACAAGACGCACTGTCCTTAGAGAAGGGGTGATCATTGACAGAATCGCACAAAAATGATTTAAAAGATTCAAAGAGAGAAAGAAATTATTGCAAATTTCGATCAAAAAATGAGGTCAAAACAGTGATTACTTCATTTTTTAAAGCAAAGCTAAGAAATTTTATAAGAAAAATTACAGTACAAAAAATAAACGTTGCGTGTAATGTATAGAAATATACAGCACAAGCAAATTAAAATATTTCAATGATAAAATAAATATCTATTTAAAGCACATTTTCTAAATTACTATCATAAACATTTTGCATAAAAATCCACAGCCTAGATATAATAGATTTTGATACGTACTCAGTTATTTCTACTCTATATTCGATTTAACATTTAACAGTTTTTGTAAACCAACATACTATATGTATATTTCTTAAATTTGAGTGCAATTTAGTGTCAACAATGTTTTGTAAATAACTTAAATAATAATTACAATTTTAACGATAAGATAATACAAATGTCTTCTTTATATTTTTCATAGAATAATTTAGAACCCGTCACTTGACCGATAGATTTAGTGTTAATAAGTAAACATGAAACGAAGAAACGCACCGTGTTTTCTCTCGATACTCGACTCCCCGATGGATTGACTAAAAAACAAGGACTTACCAATGTGTTCTGGTACCCCAGGCCGTAATCTTCGTCACCCTCGCTGCCGGTCGACGCCATCTTTCCACCACTTTGCGTAAACTAGTGCACGGTTATAGAAAAAATGCTCACGCGAGTCAAACAGAAATCCAAATAACAGTGGATGACACAGTTCACTTGTCTAAGCGAGTCTCCTTTTTCCTCATCCTCTCGCGCCGATTTATCGACGATCCCCGCTTCGTGCACATCTATCTCGGATTCTTTCCTACCCCGTGTTGTGTCCCTCTTTTCGCGAACTACGGAGGTTGACGCTCAGCTCCTCAGCCGCGTTTCTCAATTTCCACGAAAGGATTGATAAGCGAGAAGAGAGCTCGTTAGGCGCGGGACTCGAACTGTATCGGCGAAATATAGTATCGCGTTTCGTCATTCGCGTGAGACTACCGAAGGACTCTATCGCCGGGGGTTTCGTCACAAGCCGCTGTTCTAATCATACGGCAACAATCGGTAAAATCACAGCTCGGTCGCGAACATTCCAACCGATTGGCGAGACAGACGTACGTATGCCCCAAGGAGGAGGAGCAGCAGCAGCAACTAACGAAGACACGACGATCAAACCGATTGATATTACATAGACACGTCTCACCACGTGCCGAATTGCTAAATGCAAACAATCAACCCCCACTACGTGCCGAAAATTCTATTTACTCGCTTCGCTTTCCTCCGAGTCCGCCTACTACGAAAATTCACCAAACGAAACCTTCCCTCCGACGTCTCTGCTTCCAACTTTCGTTTAGATCGTCTGTTCGCGCTTGAACCCGGAGGGCACTGATTATATTAGCCGCGGCACAGGGGCACCGATTTTCTTCGAAAACTTTCACTCCGCCGAAGATAGGCGACCCGATTCTACGGGCCTCGGGGACGGAGTGAAAGAGCGGGCGCGATCGAGGCGCGTTACGGGCTCGAAGGATGATTCAAGGGTCTGTTCGGGGGTCGCCTGACCTTCGATATGTAGCTTGACGGAACGGAATGGCACGGTACTAGACGAGGCGGGACGCACGCGATGCGAGCGACTGTCCGCTCGGACGGTCGTCAGCCGACTGATAGGTGCTATGAATGAAGCGGCCGCGATTTCTTGCCTCGGTTTACAAGAAACGTCGGAATCCTGTCCCGCGTACTTAGTCGTGTCGGTTAACAACACGCGTGACTACGACTTTGTCTTTACGTTTCTCGACACCTTCCGCATCTCCGTATTTCTCTGATTGTAAACAGAAAACGATGCTCGTCAATTATCACTGAGTGGTAACTATTTAACGAAAGGATTAAATAAATTTCAATAATTATTCAAGAAGGATAGTATTTAAATGTTTTATTATGTATATCTACAGATTTTATACAGGGTTTCCCAAATTTTAATGTTCAAACTTTGTCTGTATATTCTATGGCACTAGATAAGAAAAAACGTTGTATAAACATGGATCATATAACGCTTTATTAAAAAGTTATAACAAAAATACGGAACACAAAAAATATAGAAATAGTAACTGATTTCCTCACAGATGGATAGGTCAAGGTGGACCAATCTTTTGGCCACCACGATCGCCCGATCTTACGCCACTCGACTTCTGTGGGGGAACTTCGAGAGATAAAGTGTATCAAACAGAAATAAAGTCACGTTGAATTAATACAAAAGATTAATAATGCATTCAATGAAATAAAATAGAATAGAAATGAAATTCGCACAGTTATAAATTCGATGTTTGATCGCTATAAATCATGTATTGTCAACAACGGTAGACATTTACATGGAGGAAATGTAGAGAATTTCATGTGCAAGAACGTGGATTATACGTACATATAAATACACATTACTATTTTTTATGTAAACATAAGCAGACATTATAGTTTTTAATCCAATATAAAGAAGCAACAATAAATCTGTAAATCAGATACTAAATCAGGTACTAGACGAGATAACTTGATCGATTGTACGTGATTCGTAAGATGTAATTATGTAATTAAAGTTAACTGGGATTGGTCGAGCGGCGGAAATCTCGTTTGTTATTTTCGCTCACGATAAGGGCCATAAAGTCGCGAAGGAAGGAAATGGTACATCGAGACTGGACGTTCTTTCGTGGAAAACGTTGCTTCTAATTGAATCAGTGAAGAAGAACGTGAGTCACCAGTCATCTAAAGTATCACGTTTAATGAAATATGTTCATTTTATTGAAGAAACGAGTTTTATGAAAATTGCCACGTATTACTAATTTCGTTTAATGGACTTAATTCAATTTAACATAAGAACAGTTCTACATATAATAATCCATTTCATTTAATGGAATATTATCTATGAAGAGTTTATAACTGACTTCTGAAATATTTTTAAATTAACTAGTGAGATAAAGTAATAATTAAACTGCAGATTCTGTACATTTACACTAAAATAAGATATGTAGACGTGAAAGATATAAAACGTAAAGAATATATGCAGCGGACAGAACTGCACACAGTATAAACAGTAAAATACTTAATATGATGTACAAAAGAGTAAAAGACAGTATTACTAAATCTCATTTCTTAAGTTGATACTCTACAAGTTTTATATCACATAAAAATCCACAGTTTGCTAATGACAAATGTATAAAGAAAGCAAACTGGTTGTAAAACGATGTTCGTAAAGGAACTCAGTCAGAAGGTTAAATGATAATTGACTTGCAATATTCCTAGAACAAACGATACTATTTAAAACATTATGACATTATACTGCAAAGTCTACAAATTTATGATATTTGTGAATTCATTATGTTCATAAAACAATGGATGCAATACAATTACTCAAGGTTGTTCTGGCTATAAGTTAAAATAGTGACACATGCTTGATATGTAGCGAATAAATTGTTATAGTGATGTTAAACTCATATGGAAAATTTGAAAGAAATTAAAAAGCTCGTTTAGAGATCATATCAATTTCAAATTAACATGCGTTCTTATGGAGTTTACTGTAATGGAACTATATTGCTACATTAA